GAACAGAGATTTGCTGCAACATATAAGTACTGATTAAACAAACCAATGACCAGGGTTGTCGGAGCGTTTTTTTAGGTTAAAGGGGGGGAGGGCTAATAACAGGAAAAGGTTACTTGGAACAGAGATTTGCTGCAATATAAGTACTGATAAAACAAACTAGTACTACAAATAAGTACTACTTAGAATTTGTACAGTTGCACGGTTTAACACTGGAAAAAATCGCGCTCTTTAAGGGTTGTAAATGTGATATATCATTTAAGTGTCCAAAATGATGTAAATTTGATGTAAATTTGTGTACAAAAACATTTACATAGATTTGAGCACTTGTATCATATTTACTACATCAAATTTTCAACTTTTGAAGTGCGTGATTTTTTGCAGTGTAAGCGCGATCAATGTATTAGCAAAAATTCTATCAGCTAATGATATTATTATTTGATACATCGCAGGTGTATCATGGGTACTTTCATATAATATTCGCCCTTTTCCTGGCAAATAAGCTCGTCAATCATTGAATAACTCATTAAAGTTTTGCTTATTTTTATTTTTCGGTTATTCAAATATATTTTGCAGTTTCAGTATAAATAAAGGGTAACCATTGAATATAAGCTATCCTATATCATATCCAGCGCGTTCGTCTTGTTTACAGTTATTTACAATRATTCTAATCCACCATGACCAATTATATTATATTATTATAATAATTACATCTAATTTCAAAAATGTCCTGATATTTAGGAATACATTAGAAAAGAACAAAGTGCTTTTAGTAACAGCGTTAAACATTATTAGTAATACTATTTTTTTACTATTTTATGTTAATTCTTTTGTTTTCTTTTTTTCAACTGGCACATGATTTTGTACAATAATCCAGTTTCGAATTCTCCAATGCTCTGTGTTAGCCTCATTTGTGCGCAAAATATTCCTAATTGTGAGAATAAAAGTGTGAAATTTCAAATCAATTCTATTGTCTTTCTTTTCAAATTCCATGCGTTTTCTCGGACTATCAATAAAAGAAAAGAATGTGTTACTTGGTTTTGAGGCTAACACAGAGCAAACCAGAACTCGAAATCAGACAATTTAGTAATTATTTTCTCACGATTTCACTCCATTGAAGCTGAAAACTTTCTTTTGTATTTTAATTAGATCTCTAARTTGCAAAAGTTTTTTTTTCTTGGACAACATTTTTGTGTTTAGGTGAATATATTCAGGAGTGCTTTCAGTAAGATACTAGAGTGATCGCACTTAATCCGTGCAATTGCACAAAATCTAAGTAGTACTAATTTGTACTAAAAGTGGACCTGAAGCAAGACGGTATTAAATACTTCATTTGTATCAATTCAATTTAATTTGTGGACCGCATGCACGATTTCCTAAATAAAACTAAATAGCACTATTTAGTTTGTACAGTTGCACAGATTAAGTGCGATCACTCTAACTAAACTGTGCATAAAATAGTACACAATAGAATCATTAATGTTTCACGCTCTTACTAAAAGCACTCTAGTCAGGATTACTCAAGATTTGGGCTTTGGAATCTTAGCGGTTATTTTGTCACTTATCCACTCTTCCACCGTGTCTTCGTAGTAGATCTGGTTAAGCAGGTTATGGAGCTTCTCYTTTAGTGACGTCAGATGGATAGACTTGCTGTAACAATACAAAAATTCATTTAGAGAGACCGCATCAACCAKAATTCACCCAATGACACGAAATCCGGAGCGTTCCTGAATTTCACAATCCAATCTCCTACGCCCAGGATTCCATTATACAGATTTCGCGGGCAAGGATTCTGGATTTCACCATATTCCTTTTAATGCGAAACATAACAGCTATTTCAATTTGATGGTGAAGTTTTTCTGTTACAGTTGTAACGAGATTCATTGTAACCCTGAAGATGACCTAGCCTGCAGCGTTACATCCGGTTTTATTTGCCGCTAAAGATGACCGTGTTGGTCGAAAGCTCGGTTTTATTTTATTAAACACCAAGGTTGATACAGCAAAGTTTGCTATGAAGTTAAATCCAATTGCTGCCTACAAACATCTTTTTAAAAATCATAGCTATTTTTGACATCAATCATTACTGACTCGTTTACAATTTGAATTCTAMTTTGGATTCCGGATTTATTTTGTTTTATCGGATTCCGTGGATTCCAAGTGTGAGGTTCCTGRATTCCAGAGCCAAAGTTGTCGCACTCCTCAATCAGGATTCCGTGTCATGGGAATGATTTTTTTTAACTTAATTAAAAATAAATAAATTTAGAGCTTAAGGTATACATCGGCAGGTATGCAATATATCCTAAAAGCAACAATAGTCAAAATGAAAAAGAAAAGAATGAAAACAAATCAAAGAAAAAGGAAAAAAGGAAAGGAAAGAAGAAAAAGAAAGTTATAAAATTGTAATAACTTTATTAGCAAGGGTGGATCCACCTGTTTTGTGTAACGGGTTTGCAACCACGTCTGAAACCTTCAATCATACTTTTCCTTCTTTTGTGTCTCCTTCTCGTCGAATAATTTCTGTGGGTTGCTCCCTCCCATAATGCCCTGCATCCCCTTCCCACAATCTGCTCATGATTGATTATCTCTGAAGCATTGAGCGTGACGTCCTTAAAGTATTCAATTTCCCGAAATTCCACAAACAAACAAACAGCACCTACCTATTTTTATTTGGTRCTTCCAGAGCCATCGTCAAGTTACCAACCAGTGTGAAAATCTCATGACCTGGGAAACTTGCAGGCAAATCTTTGTATCTATTACAAACAAGTTTTAACTTAGTAAAAACTATTATTAAGTCAGATGYTAATCTGCTTTTCGTCCATTTAATGTTCAAGTATTATTAATCATGATATCGTTTGATGCTTAGGCTCGCTCCGGGCCAGAAAGTTGCCTTAAGTCGCCTTAGGTCGCCTTAAGAGCCCCAAAGTCGCCAACGGACCCCCACCTAATTATCATCCAAATTTCGTTAAGTCGCCTTAAGTTGCCTTAGGACGTCTATTAAGTTAAGCCGCCACATTGCCCCCCAATTTACCCTTATTTTTCCTTAAGTCGCCTTAAGTTGCCTTAGGACGTCTATTAAGTTAAGCCGCCACATTGCCCCCCAATTTACCCTTATTTTTCCTTAAGTCGCCTTAAGTTGCGGTGACCTAAGGCGAATTTCTGACCCGAAGTAGGCCTATGCTTCTAGACTTCACATGCTATGATTTTATTATGGTCTTTACATTCAAACAAAAAGTTTAACACAACTGGTAGATTGCATCAAATATAAGGATTTTTCCAGAAATTTTATCGTCTACAAGTGTCCTTGAAAATGACTTTCATTCCCAGGGTTTTCAAGAAGTAGCACAGTATGGCCCYGTATAATATTGTTCTCGTGATTGATCCCAATGTAACCCCGATGGGAGCGTCTGGACGTCGGACTTTTTCGATTCGTCGGACTCTTTCGATTCTTACCATATTGCTTTTTACCATGATTATTACCATTCATACCATGTAATCCAGATGTAATTCAGATCATTGGTCTGCAAAATCGGGAATGTCGGCTACATATATCTATCTATCTATCTTCCGGCATTCCAATTCTTCTGCGCACCTCGCATTTCTCACACTTTCCTGTCGAGAAGTCAGGTCGGAGCGAGTTTACACGGGAAGAAGAAATAATCGATAAACGTGTGCCTTACAATTTCCTTTGGTATGAAAAATCTAAATTTAGAAATGAAAACCCAGGTTTTCCTATACTTACTCTCTCTTGTAGGGTGTAATTTCGAGGCTGAAATTTTGAGGCAGTCCAAGGCTTTCAACGACCTCCTTTTTCAAGCTTTCATTCATCTCGCCTAAATAAATTAGTCAAACTAATTAGACCGAACTTTTACCCATTCGAAGAAAAAGGTCTTAATATTTGCCCATCCCTCCCCAAAATATTTAATGTCAAAAATAGATATCGCTTTGAGCACTCAGTAATGGAGAAAGCTCGGATAGGCAGAAAATGCACAGTCAGCCAAGAAATAAGCTTCAAAAAATCAAGCATTTTTTTACTTTTTGAAAAAAAAATATAACAAAACAAAATTCGTGCTAAAAAGTTATGTCATRGATACACTAATGGAGACTAAATCACGAATTTTAGGCAAGGTTAGAAAGGTGGTGATGGTGGGGAGGGTTAACCCAATCTGTTCAGAATTCATTTCATAATTAACATATTTTCTATTTTAGTTCTAAATGGTAGCTCACTGTTAAAAATTCTCGTACTTCTAGGAAGTACACTATCAGCTATTGAACGTTTAGAGAACTTGAACCATTCCGGCCGTAATTTAGTACTGCAGTTGCTCGAACAAAGTGCTCACTAGGCGTCAAGCTCCGAAGAAAAAAATGAGATCAAGATGGTTTTCCCAAGTCAAATAATAGAAAGACCTACCGTAGGTTAGAGCCTTAAGACAGAATGCAAGTGATGGAAGACCCGCTGGTAGAAGCTCGCAAAGAGGAGCGTGATGATTATACCTGGAATCAAAACACAATATACAAAATTAAACAAACTAAACACGAACACACCTTTTTTCTCGATCAGAACAATTTTTCTGATTGGTCGAGTAAAAACTATGTTTCATTAGTCTATTACATAACTAAATATTTTTTTTAATTCATGTCATTTACTTATCAGTAAATAATCATCCAAAAGATATTGCACACGAAATATAACATCAAGACACATGTGTCCATAACAATGGCAATAACATGATAAAAACTAAAAACAACAAAAGATACAAGAGCAAAAAACTAACCTACTCCAACCCGTCAAGGCAATGCCCTCGATAGTAGTAGAATTAGGGAGAGAGTGGATTACGTCCAACCAGTCCATGTTATTCTGGAGATGGTGATTAATGGGCACGTAATTGCTGTCGGGCCTTGTAGCTCCTAAAAAGTATCAAATACAAAACGATAACAGTAACAATAAAGCAACAACAAAAGAAACAGCAAAAACAACAACAAACAAATATAGCAGTCTACATGTRCGGTAGAGAGCGTTCATTATACCCATAGAAGGGTCAAAAGGATTTTGGTCATTGGCGAGACCAAGAGATCTCTGATAATCGGAGTCTCAAAGCATGAGAGGTGTGTTGTTAGACTCGGCCAGACAGACAAATCTGCACTTCAGAGCATGCCAATCGACTTGGTCACAATATCAACTGGAAGGACACCCCCCCCCCCCCCCCCCCCCCCACGTCTTAAGAAACGAGGCAAGGTGGCACCAAAGGAGGTAGATGGAAGCGGTTTTAATAGCAAAAACCAAATAAAAACAATTTCATATCAAATAGGGAATCGACACTGGAAGAACTCTATCCGATAGTTACATCAAATTACTTAAAACCATTTAACTTCTAGTTTGTTGCATTTACCATATTTTGATGGATTTTGCCCTACTAATTGAAATAAGTTTGCAAACTATTTCATGGATAATTGAAAGCATTATTTTAACTGATGAAGACACGGCTGTTTTGCCAAACTACCATACATTGGGTACCAATCGCGCACAGATATCTTAATACTGATCTTATTCAATACACCGAACGTAAACGTTTCAACGAAATTCAAGTTATCCGCTGTCGAAAATGCGACCGTTTCTTGCACTCTAGAGTGTATTGCAAAACTAGTTCCTAGAACTGAATGCATGATTATTGTTATTCGGAAAGCAGCCAGAAACACATGYTGAGTATTAGGCCTGAAGCCATGCACTACTCAACTTGWATTTTTATATTACTACGACATATTTTTACTCCCCTGTTCTAAACTAAAAAATGCCAAGGTGTTTTACTGACATCTTGAGACCTTTAGCAGTCACAACTAAAAATGCCGACATGCATACATGAAAGTAGGAAAGTTGTTACATCATGTTTTACCTTTAAAAGCACTAGCAACCCACATTTTTGGGAAAGCAGCTGAGAATCTCTCCCACATTCCTGAGAGGTTGAAAAAATTATCAATAATGAGATCAATAATGACCTTGCCAATTAAAGCGGTAAACTGACTTACCTGCGGGAAAGTGATTTTTCAAATTAGTAACATACGACCAAACCATTGGCTGCATCAATGTACCGAGTTCTGGCAGTAACATAAAGGACATACTTAGTATTTCAAAGACGGACTTCACTATATTGTAACTATTGGTTACTTTGTTAATAGTCTTCTTCACAGTTCCCTGCGCCATCTTGAAAGGTAGCACGGCTTTGCATCGAAGCGAGAAGACCGTTGAGCGTACAATGATAGAAGCCTTCTTTCACACCAACAACTATTCAAAGGCATTTATCATTGCACGCCCAACGGTTATCTCGCTTCGATGTAAAGGCACGGCTACCTTTCAAGATGGCGCATGTAACCGTGAAGGAGACTATTATCTAATGATGTTTGTTTGCCCGTCTTAAAGTTGGACCATCCATTTGTTCATCTATCTGAGCTGAGCTGTTTGTTTACCACACGATCTGCCTGATTGTAAAGTTATGAACCAGTCTATTTGCCTTTCCGAAGTTCTCTCTGACCGTCAATCAAATCGTCGTTATCTAATGAACAAGAGATAATGAAGGGTAGCGCTTAGAAAGGACAATATGTTTTTTTTGGTAGAAAGAGCCTTAAGTACATTCGGWAAAATTATTTTCCGACCTTGCTGGGATTCGAACCCATGACCTTTGGATTTTTACTACCAATCAATTTTTCCAAATTCATTTCAAATGGTCTTTCTCCGTAAATAATCTTCTTTCTAAGCACTATAAATCCTCATGATATCTAGTTCTTGGTCCACTAGCATGCATTTYTCATATATGGAAAATGAGGCGACTTCGAATATCCATTTGCAATCCATTTCCATCCATCGGTTAAACGGTCGAATCTTAAAGCATATCCATTTCATATAGGATAACGGAATAATAAATAGTAAGTTTTTGCTTATATTACGATGTATTTCTACTTTCAAACATAAACAAAAGCTCGAAAGAGATGCTGGTGGACCATGTCCCTTTAATGCCCCATGTTATAATCATGTCAGGTTATCAGTTCGTCCGACTGTATAACTACCTGTGTATTTGCCAGCCTACTTGTCCTTCTTCAAGCACAATTACCTTTTATTTCTTTGACATCTGCCATTCTCATCATGTCATGCCACATTAATGGGATCAGGTTCTTCTGATTGATATGCTTAAGTATCCGTGTCATGTGATCGATGAAAAGTCTCATTTTAGATCTTTTATCTGCCTTGCATAAGTCACAGTCCTTTAATCTGTAAACCTATTTTTTACATAAAGATAATTACACATGGCTTACTGTATCAGATACTTGTTGTTCAGTTTTTGTTGCTCAGTTGTTCAAAGCTCACCTCATCTCCACCAACATGAACATACTTGATTTTTGGATGAAGCTGCAGAACTTGATCAATCATCTTCTTGATTAAAGGGAAGGAGCCTGTAGAAACACAATATACACCAATATATACCAATTTGGTATATTGGTATATATTTGGTACAATTGTAAAGCTTACCATTCTTGCTAGGACAGATGGAATCTGTAGCCGATTTTACTTCACGAAGATCTTCAAACTCTTTGTGCTTCAAGACAAACTAGAAGTACATAATAAATGAAAACTCTGCCAAGAGACATTTTATGCTTGTCTCAGCAATGTATAGGCAAAAGATGGTGCAGGGAGGGGGGCCTTGATTTCAATTGGATGATACATTTAAGAATAAGAGAATATACAGCCACCAAATTTTCTGTTGTAGATTTTTTGAGCACTAATAAGTGATATCACAAAAGTGTTTACTCATGCATTAAATCACTCAAAAATAGTATTATAAATAGTAATTAATACATTGAGTTACCTCCATGTGCCCAAATGTTTGTATTAATGGAACTACCATAAGATTTTGATTTTCACATTCTTCTAAAAAGCGAGTAATGTCATCTTTACTGAGGATGAAGAACAAATTCTTTAAGGGAAAGGTTTAATCAACTTTAACAAGTGTTGCTATTATATTGATTGAAGTGCAGAAAAGTTCTCTCACTGCAAATGTCAGTGGTCCTGTTGATAGGAGGTATAGATTGTTCATACGACAGAAATCATTTCTTAAAAATTCTTATTGAAGAAAAGTGTTGAAAAGATCTCCCAAACGTTTATATAGCACTGAGGTTTGGATATATGCTAAGCATAGAGTAAAAAGGCGAGATATCTTGGCCACAAACATGGACCGCGGAGCAGGGGGGGCTTGGGGGCTGCAGCCCCCCCAATAATTTTTCCGACATTTTGAATTTTCTTAAATAAASAAGCGAAGAGCCTCCTTATGAACTTTCACCATATATATTCTATAAAAATTGTGTAAAACCTGAGCTTGAACAATTAAAATTGAAGCTTTTTTGCGAAGTCTATGTGATTTATTGATAATATCGGTGACCGTGTGTACGGTAAAAAATTGATAACGCCCCAAAACTCTGGAAATGATATTTCCGAGAGTTAAGATTTCAAAAATTTCCGAACCCCCCTAATACCTCCTCGCCGGTAGCCCCCCCAAACAAATTCACGCTCCGCGGTCCCTGACAAATATAAGGAAAATATCATAAGACATGAGTATATGTCATAGTATTATATATTATTAATTCACCTGTAGGCATGTTTAGTCTTTAGTACTTCAAGATCGTCAGAATATGGAAACATGTCTTCATATTCTACTAGTAAACCAGTGGCACCCCACTCTTTAAAGTGAGACAGTAACTAGAATATCAAAGACTTAGTTAGAAATATATATATTTCATAAAAATTTGCAGTGTGAATTCTTGTGCGTGACGATGAGAGTGCTGCCAAAATATGATAACACTATCTCTTCGTAACATCTCTTTACCGTGAGAAAAGAATTATTCCGGAGAATTATTTTCGATTTTATGGCTRATAGTTGGTGCACGCCGTGCTTTCGTTGTCTGTCTTCTTATGGACACGCTATAAGCTTGGTTTCAAAAAAAAAAGGCCTACCCCGGACCAGAAAGACGGCCTAAGTCGCCAAGGGAAACCATCTAATTTCATTCAAATTTCCTTAAGATTCAGCATTGCGCCGCCCAATTTAATCGCATTTTTTCTTGAGTAGACTTATTAAGTTGCGTCGCGGATTCTGGCCCGGAATAGGCTATAAAAAGTCTATTTGACAGAGTGCATATCTATTTGTTTTTTTTATGGCTTTATCATATCTTAGGTCTGAACATTTCCATGTCTGTCTGATGGTCTATCCTTCTCCCTGACTATTTGATAAAACATTTTGTGACTGATGTGACCATGTAGTCACACATATTGTGTGACACATATTGTGACCTATATTCCACTATACCTGAAGAAATTGTGTAACATCACATACTATATTGTAGTATACAAATGATAACAATTCAAACTATTAAACTTATCATTTGTAACATATATTTCCCTATATTAACATGGAAGTACCTTCATCAAATATGGCATTTTGGGTGGAGCCCCTTTTAGATCAAGATGAACTAACATGTGCCCATTGAAGCTAAAACAAAAATACAATGAACATTAACTCATTCCCTACGGTGATAAATTTGTCAATTTTGTAGTTTTTTTGTGTGTTAGACTTCCATAAATTGTTTAACTTCCAAATAAGGCGCTGTCAATCAAACTAATGTCAATTCAAATACCTCAGGAAATGCAAATTTCAATAACGCACGGCGAATTTGAGACACCTCGCTAGATTAGCCAGCACTCGAGCTCAAATTCGCCAAAAAAAGGTTTATAAGTGCATTTTTTAAGTCATTTGCTGCCATAGAAGCCCCTAGGACTGCATCATCAAGCTCGACTAGGCGGCAAAGACAGCCTTCTGGAAGAAATCAGAGGTGGAAAGCGATTTTTCGAAGAAGACGGCAACAAAGCGAAGGTCTCTTTGAATTGTTGTCGTTAGAGAAAGGTCGTTTCCCTAGTCATTCTGTGGCAGATTTCGGAACCTACCAAGGTAAATTTGGCAAGTTTTAACATCCAAAGAATGCAGTCGATGCAATATTTTGCCTGTAGGTGCGAGTGACTTGGCACTTAAAAAAAAATTACTAAAGTAAGATTACTGGCCATTCCTTGTCTCATAGATGTCAATATTCCCAGGGTGCACTTGGGTCGTGCATTCGAGAAATGCTAGTTTGTCGAGGTGGACGTCAAAGGTGCGGCTCTTGTATTGCCTGTAGAGAATTATTCCGAATAAAAATCCCTAAATGCAAGAATAGGAGGATGTAGCTCTTCAAAAATGTCGATATTGTGCTAGAAAAGCATGAATTTCACGTTGCAAATTAAGTCAAAAAAGTGAGCTTTTCGCTGTTGTCCCAGGAAGTGCAAAATTCGGAATTGAGCATCCACGTCAAGACAAAAGACTTATTCGACCTAAAAACTTGATTTCCGAGACATGCTTTTAATTGGAATATTGAACTTGTTGTCTTGTTGTCTTGTAGGTGCAAGTTTTTCAGAGGCATCTAGCCATTTTGGGAAATTATAATTTTTGGAGTCATCACTCCTGTGGTACTGATGATACCGATGGCCGTAGGGAAAGGGTTAAAAAAAAACGCGAAAATTTGAGAGAGAAAAATTGGAATAATCTTTAAATAAATAATGGAGGTGAAATAACTAAACACTGGTCAATAATGACAATTGATTACTGGCTCTTATGTTATACTGTAGATTCATAATTTATAATTATGCCATCCAGGAAATATTCAAAGTAATGTGGATAAATCGACTCCTCCTATAAGTAACGAATCCTATAACAAGTGTCCTCAAGTCACTTAACCAGCACTTTCAAAAGCAAACAGCAAGGGCGGATCCAGCTGAAATTTTAAGGGGTTGGGGTGGGGACTAAACGGGCTTTATTTCTTATAAACAACATTGAAAATAAAAAAAAATCAGTTGACATTTGATGTTCAGAGGGGGCGACAGCCCCCATTTGCCCCTCCCTAGGTGGGCACTTAGCAAGGGTAGTGTCAGCGAAGGCTTTGTCTTATGTATTACATAAGACAAAGCCTTATTACATAAGACAAAGCCTTCGCTGACACTAGCCTTGCTAAGTGCCCACCTATTCCTGGGGACATTATATCATGTGYAATCCAATATGACTTTTTACACAGTCGAATAACAATAAAACGTGGAACTTGCCTTTTTGCACCTTTTTTCCTTTCTCTTGATAATAACACTTGTAATTCTTTTATTCTTTCTTCAGCCTTTTTCAGCTCTAGACTATATTGATGAATTTTTCTTTCTCTTGACTCTTTAGATTCTTTAAATAATAAATATTGAAGTGTGAGTAACTTTAGCTGCTATCTGCTACAGGGGCGGATCCAGGATTTTCCTCAGGGAGGGGTGCAGGGCGTTCAGGAGGAGGTGCACCCCACAAAAATCATTACCATGAAGATACAAATCAAGGAAAGTATGTAATGTATACAGATCCCACGAAGGGGTGCTCGCCCCCTGCACCCGCCAACTGGATCCGCCCCTGTGCTATAACGTACTTATAGTATTAACACATTTGATTTAAAATAACAAGCTGCGAAGAGTGTGGTGTTCTAAAACATTAAACGGAGTGGTCGTGAGTGCAAGCGAGTCTGATACATTACATTTTTGAAATCAAAAAAGTATTATAGTTTTGCAGAGTCAGCAATGTGGACGATCATAAATGGTAGAAAATATAATAAAAAAGAAGAATTCATTACCTTTTAGAAAACCTGTGGTTGCTATGGAAACGTGGATGATGACTTAGACAGTATTGACACCAAAACTGTGCCAAGATGAATTAAAGGACGTACAAAACTTTCAGTACTGTTGCTGTCTTGGTTTATTGACATTTTACTTGCTCTAGGAGGGACTTGGTTCCGAAGTTCTTGGTATTTTACTCGATCTGAGAGGGGGAGTGTGTGTGTGTGGGTGGGTAGAGGTAGGCGGTACTCAAATGGCCTCTTTCAGTCTGATTAGGGCCGAATAGGGCTGATAATAATAATTTATATAATCCTATGGTRATAATCGACATTTTAGAGCCGATTCTATAAATGACAAAATGCTGTTCGTCGACGATCTATAGACGCCTCGGGAAGCTTTGAATATATGGCCCACAGGGGCAGATCCAGAAGAGGTGCTTTTTGGACGACCTCTTTTTTTTATATATCAGTATAAACGTTTTTTTTTTCTGCGAATATTCGGCAAATGATTCTCCTTMGTTTCATAGCAATATCAACAAGTAGATATCAACAAATTTTAATTGAAAAAAATAAAATAAAATAAAATAAATAAATAAAATAAAWTAAAATAAATTGTATTATTTACAGCTATCTTCTCTACACAATCACAAGAGAAAAAAAGGAGCGATGGTGATTCGTATGTGCTGAAAAGATAAATAAATTATTTTATCATGAACTTGATATTTTGTTATTGTAGAACAAAAAAATCTAAAGAGCTAGTAGGGCAGAAGAGATAATTAAAAGAGACATTGGCAGTCTGGACGCTAATTAGAGCAAATATTCAAGTTTACACTGAATGACTTTGGCATTATGGATACTTCCAAAATGCTTTCTTTTAGAAATGATTGTTTGGCTCTGCAGGTTGGCTGAATTGATTGTGACTTTACTTAGAAAGCATAAAAGCATAARCTAAAAATGTGTTCAAGTACAGCGAAAAATTTTGTGATATTTTTAGAATTCGTRGCAAAACTCTAACGTCAAGCCGCAAGCAGGCCATCACGATGCAGATTGCTAAAGCATTCGGTTAAATCATGGTGCAACAGTCTCTATAGCACATGCATCAGGAGTTTCGGAGAACAATGCATCCGCCGTCTTGAAAAGTGAGACTCAAATCACTAAATTATAACTCCTAAAGAAATTAAAAGGTTCTAAGTTAATGTAAATCTAATATAATATACGTTATGATGATAGATTAGTTGACTAAGCAGCTATGAAATTTGTTCTAAGGCAAAACAGTGWTTCAGGGCTCACTTTTCAAGATGGCGGACACATTGTTCTCTGAAACTCCTGATGCGTGTATATGTTAATCTCAAGGATATCACTAAGGATGTCTGCAGCTCGGTGGGGGTTGCTGTGACATACAGGTTTCCGAATTTTTGCAACGAGAATTCAAAAGAAACACTTGCTCAGATTCAATATAAAGGACATTTTATTCGATTCTTGGTAGTAGATCTCGAGACCGAGTGGTCTAAATGTGTTATGTCCGAGTTAGACGGCACAACTTTTGCCTAGAACTATCGCATGCAACCTGTATAAGTCATCCTTACAACATTGATCTTCTTGAGTTAGAGTGAAATATTTCAAGCTTTTCGAAAGTACCATTTTATCGCGTGTGYACTCTGGCAGATATTAAAAGCTACCTATTGATGAAGGGGGAATTAATTTGTTAAAAAATGGCTCACATACAAGGAAARAAATAGACTGTTGTCGTGAGTTATTCTCATGAATTGTTCTGGTTCGRTGATATCAACTATTATGTATGGTTTTCATRTGTGTGCTTTCATATCAGATCGCTACGAYYGGTAAGCCACATTTTTGGCGATCCTAGCGATTGTAACGATTTTTATGGAAACTTGGCTGTATATTCAAGTTTTTGGTAGTAGTTCTCGAGAGCGAGTGGTCTAAGCGTGTTATGTCCAAGTTACGGCACAACTTTGCGATCCTAGCGATTATAACGATTCTACTGGAAACCAGGCTGTTTATTCAAGTCTTGGTAGTAGATCTCGAGACCGAGTGTTCTAAATGTGCTATATATGTCCGAGTTAGACGGCACAACTTTTGCCTAGAACTATCGCATGCAACCTGTATAAGTCATCCTTACAACATTGATCTTCTTGAACTAGCGTGCAACATTTTTTTCGAAAGTACCATTTTATCGCGTGTTTATACTTTGGCAGGTATTAAAAGCTACCTATTGGGGGATTAATTTGTTAAAAAACGATGTCTCACAGACAAGGAAAGAAATAAAGAGTAGATAGAGTGCAATTGTCGTGACTTTGAGCTGTTCTGGTTCAGTGGTATCAACTGTTATGCATGGTTTTCATGTTTTGTTTCCGAATCGGATCATATCGCTACGATGAGGTGAGCCATATTTTCGGCGATCCTAGCGATCCCAGCGATTGTAACAATTCTATGAAAACCAGACTTTAATAGACTATATTTCACGGTATACAAGTGCGTTAACTCTATTTCATTTTCCTCTAAAATATTTGTCTGAAATGTTATGGAAATGTTACTTCGCTTACTTATTCGGTTACTTCGTTTGGCTTGTTTTATAGTAGTGACACTSCATTTTTACAAACCTTTAACACGTCAATAAATCTTCAATTTCCTATCAATATTTACCTACCTTTGGCTACTACTAGTTCTCGCATTTGTGTATGAATTTTCCCTTGATGAAACTCATGTTCGCTCTTGCAAAGATGATCTTGTGTTACTGCAAAATTGTTGCAAATACGATAGCTAACCATGTAAACTAGAAATACTGYTAAAAGCACTCCACAAGTTAGATTCCAGTTGTTCATCTTTCGTTTCATTATATATGTGAGAACGAGAAGACTTTCAAAAACCAACAGTTCATMCAACTTTGTATAGMTAGTGAAGTATGGATACACGACGYGACCAGTCTGTCATCAAGTAGCCACTCAATTGTTCAAAATGAAGAAAACACACCCCAGGGTATCGGCATATTTTAATATATTAAAATTGTTTTT